GGGCCCGGGCCTCCCAGCTCCAAGCACAGAATGCACTACGGTTCAGGGCCAGAGAAACTCCAGGGGCTCTAGGGATTTCCAGGGAACCCCCTTGGAATGTGTCAGGGCCGGAATGGCAGCTGTTCTGGCTGCAGCCCCAGAGCTAGGCTCTCTGCAAACCCACACAGGCTCTGGGCTTTGGGGCGAGCAGAGTGGGAAGCAGCTTGTGCAGGGTGAAGCTGGGGCCAAGCATAGAGGCCAGCGGGAGGGGGACCCCACTGGGGCCCCAGCACAGCCCCCACCCCACCCTGGCTGGGGCCTCACTGAGGAGCGTCTCGCTGGCCAGAGCAGCCTTTCCTCCTATGGCCTGGGGCCCCGCCTCCCAGGACGCAGCCTAGAAAAAGAGGAGGAAAGTTCCTTTCCTGAACACGCCCGGAGAAAGAAGTGTGCAGCCTGACCACGTGGCAGGGTGTGCAGACGCCACTGGCCTTCCCCAGGCTCAGGACAGGGAGACACCCTGCGTGGAGTGCAGCACCCCTCCTGGCCCAGGCCCACCTCTTTCCCAGGATCTGCTCCTCACTCTCAAGACAGCCAGGCAGCAGGTTCCCGAGGTGCGGGTCAGGGTGGGGGATGCCCACCCGGCCTCTCCCCCAGGCCCAGGCAAGGCTTTCTGGTGGCAGCCAAACCCACACCTCGTCAGCTGCCTCCACCTGCTCCGTGAGCCCAGGCCCCGGGGAAACAGCCGAGAGCAAAAATAACGTCTCTGCAAAGACATGTCCCCCAGCACCCAGAGGGAGGAGGAGGCCAGCAGAAGCCAGATCAGTGTAGATCTGAGCGTACCCTGCCCTAGGGCCCTTCCAGAAGGCTCCAGCCTGAGGCGGGTGCAAGGGCAAAGCCACATGATCTGGGAAGTGCCCTGGTGGAGGCCACGAGGCCCAGGCAGGCACATCTGGAGAGAAGGGCTCTCAGGGCATGGGAGGGAATGAGGCAGGGGCAAGGGATGGGGCAGGGGCTGGCTTGGGGCCTCCTCTTATCCCATTGGTGGCAAGACACACCCCTCAGCTCCACGTCAGGGACACCTGACCGCAGCAGGGAGAGCGGGGATGCCATCCACTCAGCAAACACACACTGAGCCCCAGCTGTGCGCCTCACCCTGGAGCTGGGGTTCATCTTCAGCAGGCCCAGGTCTCAGCAGGGGCAGGTACATCAGCCCACAGCCCCCTCCAGGGAGGTTCCAGTGGGGCCAAGGCCTGGAGGGTCACTAAGCTCATTGTTAAAGAGTCTCAGAGTCAGCCTCCTAGTGGCAGACAAACCCTCTGCCTCCGGGTTCCGCTGTCAGGGACACAGGAAGACACTCATGGCCCAGCACGGCCTGAGATGACAGCTCAGCTCCACACGCACATTTTGCTGCCCCGTTTCGGCCTTCCTTCGGCAAGTGCCCTCCTCAGCCTCAAACGCGAGGTACTCTCTGGGGAAGTCTACCATGACAGAGCACCCCAGAGGCAGCTCTCGGAAGATTCGGGGTGTTTCCCAGAGCCCCCACATCCTGTGGGATCTGCAGGCTTGCATGATTTGGGCTGCTCCAGCCAGGGGAGGTTGTGGGAATCAAGCCTTCTGGAAGAGTCGTGGGACTCCACAGGGGTCAGCAGAGAAGCTGGACTTCACCCTGGGGACAGTGGGGGAGTCCTGGTGGGCACGCTCAGGACACACTATGGTACAGGAAGAAGCAAGTCCTCGCCCGGCCCTTTCTGCTCCCTGTCCTCTGGCCCACTCTGGTGCAGTCCCCCGGGCCTCCCTGGTGACTGTCCAAAATAAACACTAAAGTCCTAACAGCTGTATTGACCGGGGCTGGCTCATGTGTGTGGCTCACCCCCAAAGTGGGGAGATAGCTACCCCTACCAGCCCCCCAAGTCACCAGCTCCAGGGACCCCATGTGTCAGCCCAGGTCAGCCGACCGTAGGCTGGACCCACAGCCTCCGAAACACTCCGGCACTCAGACTGGGCCACCCAGAGCCTGATGTTTCCAGGATGAACGCGAGTCAGTCACAGCCAGAGGACCGCAGAGCTTCTCCCAAAAGCCAGTGAGGTCCCAGCATGCGACGGCCTCACCAGAACAGGCATGGAAAGGTCATAGACTCTGGATGGAGGGCAGTCCAGGCAGGCTTCCTGGAGCAGGTGTGGGACAGGCATGTGGGCTGGGAAAGGAGGCAGAGTGAGAAAGGAAGGGAGGCAGAGCTGTCCATAGCAGCAGAAGTACCTCCCAGCCGGCCTCGCCTCCGAAACTCCCAGGCCAGGACTTTTTCCTGCACGGGTGCTGCTGCCCATCCAGTGGCCCCTCTGGTCAGGGCAGTGGCAGGAGTGGCCTCGGGACCAGGCCAGGTGAGGGAGCCCACAGTCCTGTGCTAGAGCAGCTCCGAGAAGAAGCTGAAGTGAGCAGCATTGTCTCTGCAGCCACTGCCACTGAGGCTCATCCACACAGGACTCCTGGAGAACATCACTCAATTCCAAACTTAATTGGCATGAAATTGAACATTCTAGTAGAATAGGTTGAGTTCCAAATCGTCATTATGCAAAACATCCACTGCAGCTGATGGGACCACGTGAGCCAACTAAAGCCCATCTGAATCAGGAGACAGCAGCTCAGGGCTGCGCATCTACTAGGAGGGGGACGCAGAAGACAGGACACTGGGTGCCTTGGCCGGGGCTGTGACTGTGTGAGGGGCAGGCCGCAGCTTCCTCCGTGGGTCCCCTCTGAACCTCTGGGTTGGAGCTGGAGCCCCAGCGCTATGTCCCTCCTGCCTGGGAGGGGTGTGCTTGTCCCTTCTCCAACCCCCGTGAGAGGGCAATGAGGTCGAGAGTCTGAGCCGGCTGTGCCCCCAGGTGCGAGACTCAACATTTGGGTATCTCCTGGGAGAAAGCGGACCTGCCACCTCCTCCAAGCCCAAGAAGAAGGAACCAGGAGCCCAGGGCCTGCGCATACACAGGAGGCACTCAGGCTGCAGTGAGCCCCGCCCTGGCCATGATCAGGTACTGTTCAGACCCTCAAGGGGGAAGCCCAGGCCTCAGGTTACCCAGCTTTTCCTTGGGAAGAAACGCAGTGGAAGGGCCCTGGGGGTTGAGTGGGCCAGGGCCCCAGGGCTCCAATTCCAGCGGGGGATCCTGGGGACACAGGGACCCAGGGAGCCCACGGCCCCTCCTGGGCCCGAGTGAGAGGGGTCGGTGTCCCTCAGCCACATGACCCTTCCAGGCTCCCGACCAGCCAAGTTCCTGTTCTGCTACTTGGCAGTGCTAAATGAAGTTAGCTCGGAAACACCCCAGTTGGGGAGGTACTATGCTCCCCAACTTGCCTGCAGTTGGCTCCCAGGTCCTTCGTGCGGAGGCTCTACATATTCTGCAGCCTATCCAGCTCCCAGTCCCCACATGGGGCAAGTTAGAATCCACATCTCCCACCCAGTACTGTGGCTGCCCCTCTGTGAAACGGGTGTAGTGCCCACTTCCCTGGGTGGTCTGTGGTGGCAAGAGAAACAGCGACAGAGCTTTGACTTCCTGGGCAGGGGACAGGGAGAGAGAAGACAGTGAGGGCAGGCAGGGCAGGGACAGGCCCCCGCCTCAGTCTAAAGGCTCTCGCTGTTTTTCACGTGGCCGCCCTCTTCACTCCCTGCTGGCCAGTCTTCATCCCTCCCCAACAAGCCAGGAAGACTCGGCATGAATCCTGTGGAAAAGAAGTGGCTGCACATTTTCCGAGATGTTTTAAACATTGTTTTGGCATGGCAGCAGCTCCTCCATGGCCCGAGCCACCCTGACATAAAACAAGCCTGACCAGAGCCAGGGCCCCAGCCCGCCAGCCTCCTCCGGCCAGCCCAGCTCTGGCTGCCGTGCACTCACCGCCTTCCCAGCCCTGCCCCTCCCAGAAGCCAGGCACCCTGGGCGGGGAGGCCGGCCTGCCCTCTCCAAACGGCCTGTCTTTAAAGCCAAGGAATGCCTCCTGATGAGTTTGTTTCTGTGGTTGCTAACCAGCAGCATTGCATGGTCTGGGAGGCCCATCGGACACCTGGGTCGCTGGTTTCATGCTCTGCACAAACTCTGTGGGCCAAGAAGGGACCCCAATCAACCAGTGTAGCACCTCGTGGTACAGGGGGAGAAACTGAGGCCCAGAGATGAGGGAAGAGGTTGCCAGGGTCTCAGATCAAGTGCACATACTTGTTCTGGGTTCTGGATCTTGCCTCTGAGAGGGGGTCCCCATGCTGGCCTGCGGAGGGCCACATGGGCATCAAATCCCTGACAGAGCGTGTGTTGGAGGCTTGCAGGCAACCTGTGTCTCCCCCACCTCCTCTCTTGCCCCTTTGCATCAACCCTGTGCAGCAAGGAATGACATTGCCTCCAGTTTACAGACACAAAACAGAGGCTGCGAGAGGGAGGTGACCTTCTCACGGGGAACTGGGATTCCCTGGGGTTGGTGTCTGGAGCTGGGTCAGGTCAGCCTCCTGGGCAGTCCCACCCTGCAAATTGGACAGGCCTTTGAGGTGGATGCAGAGGTCCTAGCCTCTGCCTGCAGGGTGCTGGGGTCCTGGGGTGGATGCAGCAGCCTGGCCTCATATCCCGCTGGGGCACTTGGGGCAGGTTGTGCCATCCTAAACCTCAGCTCCCCCACCTGTGAAGGAGGACACGGGGGCTGTACGTTCAGGACCTCATGGCCCAGGACCTGATTGACAAAGAGCAACAGAAGACAGCAGCACCTTCTGGAAAGGAGGTAGTGCCTGCGAAGGGCTTGGATGTGGGAACAGGAGGCCATCGCACTGGCCACGCCGAGACAGGATGCAGGCTGCCTGGCGTTCGTGGACATGGGTCAGCCAGCCCCACCTGGACGTAAGCAGACCTCCCTCCTCCCTGAGTCTCGGGTCCCCTCAAGGGGCCAGGGGCTCCAGGGGCAGTTCCCATGGTGAGAAAGCCCTGCCATCTCCAGTCGCACCGCTGTGCCCTGCAAATTAAACCGACAAGAGGCAGATGAGGACATAGAGATGTACATGCTCCCACGGAAAAGTGGGATTCAGAGGAGTGTTAGAATCCAGGGCTTACAAACCCTCTTAGGGGTACATGAAAATCAGGGGAGGGGGAGAAGGGCATGCACGGGAAAACAAACGGCTTTCTGGAAAGGTGAAGGGGCCCTGAAGTGGACAGATGGCAGCGCGGCTCCGGGACCACCTGTCTTCGTGTGCAACGGAGGTTTCTCATCACTGTGATTGTGATAAGAGTCTGTCTTCCCTGGTTGCTCCAGGGAGGGATGGATGACACGAGTTCTTTCGAGTTATTTTGGGAGGCTCTGCTTTTAGACAGATAAGGGGTTTCTGAAATGCAAATGCTTTCCGCACAGAATAATGTTATGCCCTGCCGCATGTTCTGAAATCCCTCCCCCTCCCCCAGACCTTCCGTCTTGTAGGCGAGCATCTCTACTCTGTACCTTGAGAAACAAAGGCTTGGAAAGATTCAGACCTGCTCAGAGTCCCTCAGGAGGCACCATCAGGCCACCCAAAGCCCCGTCTTCCCTAGGCTGTATGCCCCAGAGTTTGGGAGCACAGTTGCTTGGTGCTGATAGGATAGAGCCCCAGGGGCCTCCAGAATGGCTGAGCTGCCTAGGAGCTGCTCAGTGACACGGTCCTCCTCTACAGATGCACCGTGGAGTGTCCACTTGTCCCAGTGTGACTCCAGGCTGCTGGAATTGGAGTCTGCCCACCTTCCTCCCTCCCCTCTCATGGGTCCCCTCTGGGCTCTCAGGTCATGCGCCTACACGCAGGTGGGTGTCACAGGGTGGAGGGGTCCCTGGGATGGGCTGGGAGAAACAGAAAATCAAAAGCCACCCCAGAGCTCTGCTTCCTGCCTCCCCGAACCGGGCACTTCTGTAGGGCCCAGGTCATCGGCACCCTTCAGGGGTCCCGCACCAAGGACCCCATCTCCCAAGTGCAGACTTGGGTGGACATGTGAGCCAAGGCCAGCAGGCCCATTGGAACGAAAGCAAGGGACATGGGTCAGTGGCTCATGTGGCGCAGAGCGGGCACTAATGAGGGAGGCCAGCTGAGTGAGCAGGGCAGAGGCGCATGGGAGAGCTGAGGCATGATACCATGGGCCTCCCAGAGAGCCAGAGGCTGTCTGCTCTGCCCTCAAGAGGCCAGTGGGCCTCCCTTCCTCTCCAGGACACCCCTTGATGTCGCATTGGAGCTTATGACACCGATGTCATCCACAAGAGCCAGCCCTGGTGAGTGTCAAGTCCTCACAAGTGAGAGACATGACCAGGACCTCACGATGCCTCACCTCCCACCCCATATGCTCACCAGCCCTGACGTCCCCCTGGCCAAGAGAGGCACAGATCACCATGAGCCATCCTCTGTCTCCCTCCCTTTCTCCACCACAAGGACTCAAATTTCCAGCACAGAACAGGAGCTCTGCCCACAGCAGCGTCTCCAGGAGCCGAGGCTGCTAACCCAAAACTCACTGGCCATCTGGGTCCCAGCCTGGCTGCCTGAAGGCACAAGAAGAAGTCCACCTATTGGTGTTGACTCTGGAATTGAGACCACAGCTAAGGAAATGGGCCTTGTGTATTTCGTGTATTTCCTGTGGCCATGGGCTGTCAGCTTGCATGTCCACGGTGGTTCCTCATCCACCGGCCCCAACACCACTATTGCAACATCCAAACATGCATCTGAGCTGCTGCCACAGCATCCACCCTGACACCCACTGGACATCTACGCTGGGCCAAGCCCTGGGAACACAGCAGAGAGGCTGGGGCCTCAGGGAGGTCACAGACCAGTGAGGAAAGCAGACACCTGCATTGCAGCTCCAAGGGGTCGGGGATCGGGGTGGGGGGGGCGAGCAAAGGAAGGGCCCACAACCCAGCCAGGGTTTCTGGGGTCTCAGCCCTGTGCCGAGGGATGAGGAAGACAGCACCAGGTGGAAGGGAGTTAGGGAAGGTTTGAGTTAGAAACTCTGGGGACAAAACATGCAAAGGGGAGGCAGCCCTGCTGTGGCAGGTGCTGGGGAACGGAAGAGTGCCCAGCTGGCCCAGGGCGGGAATGTGGGCTTCACCTGGAGGGTTTGCTGTGAAGGAGTGACTGGGTCCAACTGGCATCCTGCTGTGGAGTGAAGGGCAGATCTCAGAGGGAGCCTGGGAAGAAGTGGGCAGACCAGGGGCAGGGCAGCAGCTGCAGGCTTTGGGGGCAGGAACGGCCACACAGGAAGGTGGACGGGGCACAGGCAGGAGTGGGCAGGGCAGAGGCAGGAGGTGACCAGGGCACAGACAGGAGTGGGCAGGGCAGAGGCAGCCCCCCAACCCCACTTCTTCCCAGCCAGCAGAGACCTCCGAGCACCAGTGCCCTCTTAAGCCAAGGTCAGGGACCAAACAGATCTAAAGTGGGCATCTTCCTTCCTCCTTTATAAACTTTTTATTCTTTTTGCATTAAAAGGAGCTTTGATTCCAGCCACTTGGGAGGCTGAGACAGGAGAATTGCTTGAACTCAGAAGGGCGGAGGTTGCAGTGAGCCGAGATCGAACCATTGCACTCCAGCCTGGGCAACAAGAGCAAAACTCCATCTCAACAAAAAAGGGGGGGCATTGAGCGACAGGGAATGAAAACTATTACTGTGGAGATGCTGGGGACAGACTCTCGACCTGCAACGCACATGGATGTGGAATCTCCCGGAGTGTAGGCAGGGCCCAGCAACTCACCCATGGACTCAGGCCTCTGGGCCCCCAGGCCCCACACCAGCAGCCTGTTTCATCCTCAGTGCAAACCTCCTGCCCGCCTGGGCTTTCATTGCTGACTCGTTATAAAGTATTATTTTTTCCTTCTTCTGGCACGATTGTCACCTTTGCTCTTCAAGCTGTTCTCTGTCTTCAGGCAGAAAAGAAAAGGCACCAAGCGCTCTGTAACTGACACGTCTGTAAGAGAAGGAGGCAGAGTTCGTTCCAAAGAGTCAGAAAATGCCTCGGAGACCAGCCAGCCACAAGGACATCCATGTGCTCCCCCACCACGAAGCCTGGGGAGCCAGGAGCTGGCTGGAGTCCCAGGTAAGGCTGAAGCCCTTACCCTGCCCTCCTACCTGAGCCACCACCACCCCATGCTCTCCCACCCCCACATGTCTGGACTGGCTTCACTCCACAGCCAGGCGGAGTGTGTGACCTGAGTCTCAGACAACGGGCCTACCTCCCAGCTTTTCCTGTCCCAGCCACTGACCACAGCCTGCAGCTGGGAGGTGCGTGTTCTCCGCCCCCCGCCTCCATCCTCCCCTCGGAGCTCTCCAGCTCCTCCCACAGCTGGCATGGCAGGCACAGTTCTCCCATGGTGGAGGCCAGGACACTGACAAGCCACACAGCTGGCTCAGCCCCCACCACCACAGCTTCAGCCCCCGTCCAGGTGGTATGCTTCAACCTCCAGGAGAAAGTTCCATCAATATCCTCATTTTACAGATAGGGAAACCAAGGGCAGGGAGCTTTGTGAGGCCACACAGCTGGGATTAGAACACACGTCCCTCTCACTCTACGCTCCTCCCATGCCACACGATGGCCCACGCAGGCCCTTCAGAGTTCAGTGAGCTCTGTGACCTGGGGTCGAAGGCAAGCTGGGAGGCCTGGGGACTCAGTTCGATTCAAACACTGACCAAACTCCTGCAAACCAGAGCCAAGGGAATCTGTTGAGAGGAGCCAGGCATGTGAGAAAATGGGCCATAGGGCAGTGCTGCAAGAGCCGTCTTAGAGACAGGCCACTGCTGGAGCTGGCAATCCGAGGGGTCAGGTGACCACCAGAACACTGTGGATGTAACAATGCATGACTCTCGAGTCTTGCTCCTAAAGGCAGGGCAGCTTCTGCCTTGGCCTGCTGGATCGCTTGCACTGGGTGAAGCCAGTGCCATGTTGAGAGGATGCTCAAGCAGCACCGTGGAGGGAAGCATTGTGCCAGCCTTGTGGTGCACCAGCTTGGAAGCAGCTCCTCCAGCCCTGGCCAGACATTCAGATGATGCAGCTCTGGCCAACGTCTGGCTGCAGCCTCATGGGAAACCCCAAGGCAGAACCACCCATTGACTAAGCTGTTTCCAAAGTCCTGACCCACAGAAACTGTGAATGATGATGAATGATTACTGCTGTTTTAAGCCACTCAGTTTTGTGGTGATTTGTTACAAAGCAACAGAGAACTAAGGCAGATGCTGCAAAGGCTTCTTGGCCTAAAGAAAGAAGGTGGAAGATTTGCACCCAGGACCCAAACCTCATGTGTGTGGTAACTTTCACTCAACATCTTTGCCCATTCAGCCCCCCATGGGCACATGGCAGGTGCCCCCTTCCCAATGTGGGGCTCTGGGAGTCAGAGAGGGGTCTTGCTGTCCTCTCAGGCACTCCCAGAGCCCTGTGACAGAATGGTCACACAAAGGGTGACATGGCAGGTCCACAGCCCTCAAGAGAGGCTCAGGGCAGCCAGGTCAGGAAACAGTGCCAGCCAAGGGAGGGGGAGAAGGCCCCCAGCCTCGGGACCACAGCCATTCCTTACCACCCTGCCCAGCCCACAGCACCCCTCCTCTCCACAGGGAGAGGGACAGGCAATGAAATGTGGGCAGACTGTCTCATAAAGGTCATCTGCCTGCTGAGAGTCACATCCATCCAGGACAAGGCTGACCAGTCCTCTATCAAGCAGGACAGGCCTTCTCTGAGCTCAGGGGGCTGTTCTGTCCAGCTGAGGAGCTCCAGAGCCTGTGGTCCCATCTCCTGTGGCCACCCCTCATGGCCTGGTCACCTATTATCTCAGCTTCTCCCAGGAGGGCCAGGGGGTGCCTGACACCTTCTGGAAGGAGGCAGAGACCCCAGCCCAGCTCCCCACATAGATGACTCCTGCTGGGTGAAGGCTCCCAATGGCCCCAGGGCACCCCTCACACTTCCTCTTCAGAGAACCAAAGCCCCACCAAGGTCCCATCGAATTTTAGAATGTGAAGTGGACCCAGTGATGTCACCTCTGAACTCCATCCGGGAGGGCACCTCCAGATGGACAGGAGGGTCCATGACGGCACTGGCTGGTGAGAGCCCCACAGAGAAAACAAGAGAATGCCCAACAAGGCAGAGTCCAGCAGGGTCCATAAGCACCATTAGAAAGAACAGCAGCTCCGTGGGCAGCCTCCAGGAAGGAAGGCCCAGCACCTGCACGTGATGGACAGGCATTGGCAGAAGTGCACATTGGAGTGTGGGAGCCAAGGGTGTCATGGGAGGGGCTGTGCTGGAACATTCTGGAAGAATAAGCCCCAACAGCGGAAAGGCCAGCTGAGCGAGGACATCATCAGCTTTAACTGAACTCTCCTCCGGAAGGTTCCTTCTCATGTACACGCTTCTCAGTGCAAATACCAAAAACAGGGCTCATCCTGGCTGATAACCAGGGTACTGGGTTTCAGTGTGGACTCTACTCCACCCGCCGCGTGACCCTCAGCCAACATCCTCCCCTTTCTGAGCCTCAGTGTCCCATCTGTCACCCAGAAAGTCTCTTGGAGATGGGACCCCAGGGTGTTCCATACTAGGGAGCAGGTGGTAGAGCCCCTTCGGAGGAACCCACGGCCATGTGGAGGCCGCATGGGAGGGGCAGAGAGGTAGGCGGTGTCAGACCTCCCCATCCCAAGGGCCAGAGTTAGGCCACATCTTCAGACTCAGGCTCAATTTTGGTCCCAGAGGGCTAGAGGTTAACATCTCCCCATGTCTGGGAAATGTCCTCCATGGGTGATGGCCCAGGTGTGCAGGGGCTGCTCCCACATGACTACCAGGGCCGGTGAAGTGCTGTGAGACCCCCACTAGGCCCACGGCACATACATGGCAGAGCCCCAAGGGGCGAGGCCTCCAGTGATGAGGGCCACAGAGCCAGCAGGAGGGAGGCATAGCCACCACGAGCCCAAGAGACAAGATTTGTGTTCCCAAAAACCTAGAGGGTGTGGCAGTCAGGTGTGGACGACAGGCAGGATCCAAAGAGGTAGGAGCTCAGACTCGCAAGGGTGACTCAGGAGGGCTTCCTGGAGGAGCGGGTAGGGTCGGGATGGAGATGGTCACAAAGCCTCCCCTGTGGGGTCTTCTTAGCTGCAGCCATGCCCAGCCAGGAGGCTTCAGGCTAGATACCCACAGCCCGAGGTCGGCCTGTCTGCCATTCTCCCTGCCCTCACCCCGTCCCGCCCCGTGCTGCAGGGAGAAGAGGGAAGGGAGGGCCCCAGCTTGGCTGCAGACTTCTGCTTTCCCAGTTGACACCGAGCCACACTTGACCATGGCAGACCCTGCCCCAGAGCCCAGGCCCACCCCCAGCGCATGGCCTTGTGCTCCAGGGCTGCCATGCTGGTCTCTCCCATGGGGTGGGAAGAGGCCTTCGAGGGGATCAGGGCAGGCTTCTGACCAACCATTTTACAGCCAGTGTCTCTCAGAGAATAATTAGCTGGGGGTCACATGGGGCAGGTGGGTGCCTCCCCACCAGCTGTTGGGTCCAAGACCAGGGCCCCCAGGGGAATTTTTCAGGGTGGCTACTCCTAAATTCAGCAGCAGCTGCAAACTCCCAGAAGATCTGCCAATTTCACCTCGCGCTCCACAGGCTCGGGAGGAAGATGTGCACCCCTCCCTCCATATCCCGCCCCACCCTTCCCTTAAAGAGTTAATGGAGACCTGGAGCCCAGTGGCCCATCACAGCCCAGTCCTTGCTTTTCAGCATCCAGCCTCCCCAGAGCCCCCACCCTGGCAGAAGGCAAAACGCAGGTTCAGAGGACACACACTTGCAAAATGGGACTGGGCCAGAGTCCAGCTGTCTGACCCCTGCCTGGAGCTCTCATCCCATCCAGGCCAGTGGAAAGTCCAGCAAATAACTGCCACAGCCCCCACCAAACCATCAGCAGCAGGCGGGGGGCCGGGAACAGAGAGCTCCCCAGTAAGCAGAGAGCCAGCGGCTGCTTTCCATGGAAAAAATGTCTTCAGCCCCCACCCCCACCCCCCTGCCCCACAGAGGCCGGGAGGACCCAGCCATGACTCAAGGCTCTGCTGCTGAGGAATTGCTCTGGCCAGACAGCCCCTCGGCCCAGGCAGGCTCAGCCCCAGCCCTGGCCCCTATCACACCAGGGCCCCATTCCAGGCAGAGCCCCAATGTAAAACCCCAGGGCCACACCACAGGCTTTGTGGCCCTCTGCCTCCTACCCTGGCCATGGTGGAGGCCACTGGGCCTCGATGAGCCAGGCTACAGGCCCTGTGGCTCGGTCCCGTCTGAGGGGGCCTCAGCCGCCCACCTGCAGAGTGGGAAGGTGGTCTGTGGTGTGGTTCCCTGTGGGCCTTAGAAGCCCACCAAAGGCTTGACTGAAGAGGGCCCAGAGGGAGGGCTGCAGGCCTTAGCCCTGGTGGACCATGTGCAAGAGGCAGGGCCTGGGTCTCGGGCCACAGCACCCACTGGCTGTCATGAACACTGGTGGGTGTGACTCCCAGGCCTTCAGCAGACCCACTCATCCACACCACGGAATGGGCTTCTCCAGGTTTCATTTTGAGGTGTTTCGTTTCGAGACCACACCTGGAGATGATGGGACCCTGCCACCAGCTCAGAGCCTGCCTGTGGCCGACTCGAGCCAGAAGTACTGGCCACGCAGGAGGCAAGCCCTTCCCACCCTGGGGGTCCCCTGGCTCCAAACACCAGAGGGGTCTGGGGCAGGTCCATAGGAAAGGCTGTGTCCTTTGCCCAGAGGCCTGGGCTCCAACAGGATGCGGCACTGTCCCTGGGAAGCCCCTGGACTCTCGGGGAGAGAACAGCAAAGAGAACCACCCCAGCTCCTGAGATTTCGGACAGGCGGGACCCCAGCTCAGGATAACCTCAGGGCAGGAAGGACAGAGATGGTGACCAGAAGCTAAGAACACTGTGTGAGGCACAGACCCCACCCCATAAGACACAGAGGGACACAGACACCAGCCCACCCCACAGGATGCTGGGAGGATGGAGACCCCCAGCCCCATGCTACAGGACACTGTAGAAATAGCTGATCCTGGGGCATTTGGAAAATGGGGAGCCCTGAGGGCCCAGCCATGTTCCCCCCAACAGCCCAGAGCCGCCATAGCTCGTCTTGGAGTGGAAGCCGAGCTCTAGGCAAGGCCAGGCCATTTCTGTCCAGGAGCCTGTGAGGTCAGATGGGGTAGATGGAGTCTGAGCAGGGGAAGGCACAGCTGGAGCTCAGAGGGTGTGAGAGGGGACAGCCCAGCACATCCAAAGCAAGGGACCCTTCTCCCTGCTTCAGTTCCCCTCCTCCTGGGAGGGACCCCCTGTTGGTGGGCTGGCGGGCTCGAGCATGGCCAGCAGCTGGCCCGGACCGTGTTCCGTGGGGTGTGTGTCACCACGCAGTCCACGAGCTTCATAGTTTCCCACTGACGTCACCGCATGGCTTAAATCTGAAGTGACTGTGAACCCTCAGAGGCATAATTGCAGTTGTCTTTGCAAAGTGAAATCAGATGGCTTTCCAAACCTCCCCCTGCCCCGCCTTCCCCCGTTACTCTCCTATTTTTTTTATTATGTTCCTTGGACCACATCCAGATGTTTCCTGCAACCACAGCCCTCCAAAAATTTACAAAAAGAGAGCGAGAGCGTGCAACTTCCTGCCTGCGGGGTGGAAGTGGCAACGTGGCAGGGTGGGGGCGGCCACGTCTGCAGGGTGGGCGGGAGCGGCCACGTCAGCAGCTGGGGCAGCGGCAGGCTCCAGGCAGGTCCCAATCCCCTGCCTCCTCATGCCCGGGGTCCAGGCACTGAGAGGACCAGGCCCTGGGGCCACAGTGCGTCAGGGACAGCCCCTCCCTGGCTGTTGAGGCCCTGGCCCAGCTGTGGGCTGAGCGGAGACCATGCTGGGAGGGAGCAGGGCGTTGTGGTCAAGACCAGCCTTTGGGTTCAGGCTGCCCCAGGCACCACTCCCAGCTGCGCTACTCACACGTATGGCCTGGGAGCCACGTCTCCACCAGAACCTCACACGTGTGGCCTGGGAGCCACATCTCCACCAGAACCTCTGTTTCCATGGCCATAGGGGTGGTTGCTGGGAGCTTTAATTAAAACCAGTCTCTGTCCACTGCTGGCAGCAGGAAGTGCCTCACCTGGACCCAGGCACCTAGGATGGAAGTGGTCTCAGAAGACCCAGCAGAGCCCACGGAGGGGTTACTCACGGGAGAAGGGCCTTGAAGGAAGCCCAGGGTTTCCTGAGGCACAGGCAGAGAAGGCGGCCCCAGGTGGGGAAGTGGCTTCATCAGAGGCTTGGCCGCTGGATACACAGGCTGCTGGGGCCCAAGGCATCCCTGAGACAGCGCATGTGAGGGTCTCTGGAGAAGCATGTCCAGCCTTTCCAGGGGAAGGGACGACCTGAGGGTTTCTCCCGCGGCATGCATCTGTCCTGCCTGCCTCCCTCGCTCAGAGGATGCTGAACCGAAGGGGCGGGCGGGGCAGGCTCACTCCCGACCTCAGACCACTGCCTGCCCCTCTCTGACCTGGGCCATCCCTGGGTGTAGGCATAGGCCGTGGTGGGCAGAGCTGGGAATGTGGACAGGTGGGGACAGGTGCCAAGGCCAGGCAAGAGCTCAGCAAAATGTCTAAAGGGAGAGAAACGGCCCTGGAACCTTCCCTGGGCTGTTTCAGAAACAATACTTGCAAGTTCATATAGTCAGCCCCGGCTGACATCTCCCCGTCACCTGCCCTCAGAACCTGTCAATGGAAATGCTGACACCGCAGTTCAGGATCCCCAAACCACCCTCGGGCTCAGTAACATATTGGACGGCTCACAGATCTCAGCCAGGCAGCCACACCCGAGGCCAGGGCTTAGCACCGTGAAAAGACATGGTCTCGAGCCGGCAAACCGGGTATCTCCAGAGGGCAGGGTCCAGGAGAGACCAGGCTGCAGCACACAGGTGTCCCCTCTCAGTGGAGTCAGGCAGACAATGCTGGATTCTCCCAGAATTCATGTGCACCAGCCTGGGAGGCCCAGCCACGCCCTGGGGCCCAGGGTTCCTGCTGGGGGTCCATCGGAAAGACATGCCCGACTGCCGTGTGCCTGGCCTTGGTCTCACCCCCAGGATGATGAGCTGGTACAGCATAGCCCAAGGTCCCACGGTAAATGACATCATGATCACTGGGATGGCCCAAGATCCCCAGGCAAACGCAGACACTTATCACACGGTATACTCTGAGTGGGTAGAGGTCAGCGGTCACCTCCCAGGAGCTAGGCCAGGGTCAAGACCTTTCTTTGGAATGTGCAGGGTGTGGACGGCTCAGGGCTGCTGAGTTAACCCTTTCCTGCACACAACCCACCAGCGCCACACTGGGAGGTGGTCAGCTTGAATGAGTCCCAGGAGACGGGCGGAGAGGGGAGGAGGCAGAGAAAACCACAGACAAAATTACAGTCCAGCGAGAGCCAGAGCAGCTGTCGCCACCTCCACTGTACAGAGGATGGGATGGAGGCAGGAAGAGGGGTTGTGACGTGCCCCAGGTCACAGACCCAGGCCAGGAGGGTGCCGAAACCAACCCCAAGCTATACGGCTTGCTCCTGTCACCCCCGGCTCCACCTCCAGCAGTGGAGGAGCTGGCTGGGGCCTGGTCCATGCCTTGGGGGACCCTAGAACTGGGGGCCGGGTGGTGGCTGCCTCCTGGGAAGTGTTGGCATCTCTCTTGAACCTCAGGTAGAACTTGGGTTCTGAGAGCAAGCACTCTGCAGTGGCCACATGCTGGGCCCTGCTCAAGCCCCTTCTGGCTCCCAGAAAGAATGAGGTCAGCCCGTTCCACCCTGAGATGTGCAGCAAGCATCTGAGAAGGGAGAGGGCAGTGCTAACCCTCAGGACAGAGCCCCACTGCTGGGATCCCGGGCAGCAGGGAGGCAGAAGTGGGAAGGGGAGGCCGCCTTGCTGCCCCCACCAAATCACACAGAGCCATAGAGTGTGGATTCCAGAACAACTCCCTCTTTCCACGAGGGAAAGCCGAGGCCTCGTGTGATGGGAAAGGGTGTGCCTATGGCCACACAGGGCTTGTCACAGGCCGGACACTCCCACGCTGCTCATCTAGCTACAGATGTCTCTGATGTGGGTTTCGTTAGGCTCTTCATTGAAACATTCTGGAAGATGCATGTCTAAGGGTTTTAGTGAAAATGGCAGCTTTCCAGGCTGGTCTCGGATAGCAATCGCCAGCAGCCCTGCTGGCCAGGGCTCACCTGGGGCCCCAACCACTGGGGACGGGCAGGGGGATGTTGAGTCAGCAGCAAGAGAGATTGCAGTTAAACCCAAGACGAACCACCCAAGTGAGAGCCAGATGGCCATGCCTGGTTATAGACAAGTTTCAGAGACCGCCCCACCTCCACCCCCCTGCCACCCACCCGCACTTCCTCCTATAACACACAGGTACAGAGCCTGGAAGTTCACAGGCACACGCACAGTAGCCTAAAGGTCTCCGTGATCTCAGAAAGTCCTTACAAACAGTGGCTGGACCAGGTGATACCGTCCCAAGGTCTGGCCAGCATAGCTCAACATTTATGGACTCTTCCGTGGGCAGTCCCTAGGCTGCCCTCCA